TGATAATTATATATATATATATATATATATATATATATATATATATATATATATATATTCTTCTTTCTCAATCCATTAAAAAGTTTTTTAAAGACAAAACCATTGATTACAAAATCCATTACCAAAGATAAAAGAGAAATTGATAAAGAAATCCAATAAAAGTAGTGACCCAAATTGTCCAATACTCAATTGAAATAATTTTTCCTTGCCCGTGACGTCTTTTCAGAATGTAAGTATCTTAATATAATTTGTTTCCCTTAATTACACTTATCTTATTTATATTTTATTTTGTGTAACGGTTAAGAAAATAAAATAAAATGCAATAAAAATACTTTCCTTCCAATGAATCATTTTTCTTCATTTCTTGAGTAGTTCCATTATCATGTAGCACTTGTAATTGTCCATGTCACATAATGGAGTTATAACACCTTCTTCACACTTCTCCTATAACTCATTTTCGATCCCTTGTCTTTCTCAATTATATAACCATTTCTCGATATCTCCCTTACCTTTCTCGATTTTTGTAAGTCTTCCATTTACCACTGATAACATTATCTATTTCTGCCAATTTGTTTCTCAATTTCCCCTCTAATTTGTTCGATTATTGTCTTACCTCTTCTCAATTTCATTTTTGATTACTATGAACTTTCAATTATATGATTCTTCAATACATACTCTTGATCACTTGTTTTTCTTGATCTCGATTTCCTGTACATATCTTGATTGACTTCTCAATCACTTATATTCTCGATTTTCGAACTCTCTTGATCTTTACCATCTCGATTCAATTTTTACCATTAATATCAATTTTCACCCTCTTTATCTTTACCATCTCATTCTTGATTTTTATTCTCTCAATTTTTACCATATCGATCTTGATTTTTTCCATAAATCTCGATTTTCATCCCCTCGATTTTTACCCTTTTTTGTCTCAATTTTTACCCTCTCGATCTTTACCATATTGATCTTAATTTTTACCATCAATTTTGATTTTCAGTCTCTCGATCTTTACCATCTCGATGCCAATTTTTACAAATTATATATTTTATATTTATAAAATAAAAAATTTAAAGAATAATTAAATTATACATATAATCAAATATTTGAGTATTATATTATAATATATAATAATAACAATATTATGAATATTTCTTATAAATGTACGAAAAAACAAAATATGTATATATATATATATATTAATATAAATATAATAAATTAAAATATATAATACTTAAAAATTATAAAAAATTATTTATGTATAAGAAATAATACATAAAATTAATTTATTATAATTTACATATAATTATATTTATTAGAAATAATATGAAACTAGAGACACCCAAAAAACTAAAAATCCAATGAAAGATAAAAACTAAATTTTTAACTTCGATATGTATACAAGGATGATTAAAAAAAGTTTGGGAGACAACCGTCTCCCTCCCATTCTCATATATAATCCCAACTTTAAATATTTTTTGTATATTTCATACTTAACTCATTTTTAAATAAGAAAAGTCAATTTCTGTAAATTCAATTGTTGCGTATTGATACTTTTAGTATTCGTTTGACCTATAAGTTATTTTACATTGTATAAAAATTCAACTTACTATAGCGTTGTAGACATTTCCATAGAAAAAAAAAGGAATCAAACTATAACTCAAAGTTCCAAATATAAGAGAAGCTCAAAATTACATATCAAGGAGAACGTTGAGTCATGTGTATATAAACAGACACAAGCAGTGACGGATCTTGACCGAGTAAGTCTAGGGGACCAATTATAAAAAAATATATAATAATAAATAAAAATAAGATATTTCTTTAAAATTGTGCCCTTCGATGTTTGAACTCATCAATAATGAAATCAGAACTAAAGTTTTCAGTTATTTCTTTCTCAATATAAATGATCATATTATCTGCAAGAATTTCTTCTTCCATTCTATTTCGTAGTCTTGTTTTGATAATCTTCATTGCAGAAAACGATCTTTCAGTTATAGTTGTAGAAACAGGAAGAGTTAAAATAAGACGAATTAAACGATCTATTAAGTAAAATGTACCTGACTTCCCTGTTTTTGTCAAAGATTGATATAATTCAAGCATGATAGACAAATTCTTCAAATATGGATGGTTAAGAGCATCAAGTATAAAATAATGAAGTTGAAATTTTAAATTAATCTTCTCTTGTTCACTAAAATTCAAAGGGTAAAATTGTTCACAAATGTGCATATATGATCAATGTTAAAAATTTTATAAACATCATTTGGAATTAAAGCATTGTTTAAAGTTAAAGTTCCATTGTTTTCTCACTAAACCTATCATTTAATTCTTGTAATTGTTTATCCACTGTAATAAAAAATATATTCACTCTGAAATGATGTTCTACTGTAATACAATCTTTTTGATGTCGAAAACGACCATGACGTGCTACATAGGTAGAATTAAAATTAAGAATATCAATGTCATGTTGCTCACAAAATAATATCACATCTTTTAACAAATCTTGCCAACCCTCCTCTCTTAATTTTTGAATCAAAATTTTAGTCGAATAGACTAACTGCATAGCATTATGTATATCCTCAGATTGTTTCTGTAAAGCTTGACAAAGACAATCAGTAATTCCCATAATTTCTTTCATCATGTGTAAAATCAATACGAACTCAAACTTAGACAAAATATTATAAGCAACATCAACATCACCCCTTTGAGAATAAGTTGAACCATCAATTATAATTTTTTGGAGAACTAAACAAGATGCATTATATAATTTCATCATACTACAAATGGAATGAAAATGTGAATTCCAACGAGTATCACTAACTCGTTTTAAAGTGTCAATTTGATTTTTTCCTTTACCGGTTTCAAGTTCACCAAGTTCTAACAATTTGACTATTTCATCTAATTCTACACTTTATAACTCATCATGACATTTACTAGATGAACAAACAACATTTATAATAAAAGCCAAATTTGAAAAAAATTGATGAACTGGAATAACTTCTCTTGAAGCAGCAACCAAAGCAAGTTGTAATTTATGAGCAAAACAATGTACATAATAAGCATAAGGATTATCATGAAGAAATAATGCTTGTAATTCATTCCATTCTCCTCTCATATTACTAGCACCATCATATCCTTGCCCACGAATATTGGAAACATCAAGATTATGTCTAGAGAGAACAACACATAATTCTCTTTTAGGAGTAGTAGTTGTAGTATCCTTAACATGCACAATATAAAAAAAACGTTCTTTAATATTACCCATTTTATCTACAAATATGAAAATAATAGTCATTTATTCTCTTCTAGATTCATCACGAGCTTCATCAACAATTATACAAAATTTTGAGTCACCAATTTCTTCACAAATACAATTTCTTACTTTTCTAGAAAAAATTTGCAAAATTTCCTTTTGAATATGATGAGAAGTATATTTTGAATTATAAGGAGCATTTTCTAACAAAACTTGTGCTACCTTATCATTGTATGATGCTAAAAGTTTAATCATCTCAAGAAAGTTACATATATTACTTGAATCTGGAGTTTTATCATGGCCTCTAAATGCACAAGCTTGAAATGCTAGCCAATGAATTGTATCAATAGAAGTTTTAAGTCGTAAATGATTTTTGCAAACTTCTTATGAATTTTGTACATTTATAATGTTATCAATGTGCTTAGATTGATTCAATAAGTCTGTACATGCTTTCATTGCATTGTTATGTGGTGAAAAAGGACTATCTCCAATGTGACTAAGAAACGCACAATTCTTTCCAGAATTAACCTTTTTCTATGGTCTAAATCCTTGTTTAATAAACACATTTGCCTCTAATAAACACATCTGCCCCAGGACGACCATTTGACAGTGTACTAAATAGATAACATAGCAAACAATAAGCTCCATCACTAGTTGGAGAACACTCTAGCCAAGAAGGAAACATTTTAAACCAACCATATTGAAATATCCTAGGATGTTTCTCTTTAGAAGAGGATAGTTTTTAAGTTGTATTTGATATGGACCTCAATTTAAATAAACTCTTCTAATTTCATCTCTTTGATTCATAGGATATTCATGTATCTAAAGATGTTTTCCTAGGTCACGCTCCAAAGAATTAATATTAAATTCATTAGTTTTAATTCTATGAATCTTAGAAAGGGGTTCTTCTAATTGAATAATTGGATCATCAATATCATGCTTTGAAATAGGAGAAGATGTTGAATTTGTTTGGTTTTCATCTCTACAAGTATCTCTTTTATCACTTTTAAAAAATGAATCTATTCTTTTATGCTTCATATCTAGAAAAAAATGAATCTATTATTATTTTTCTAATTATAGAATCATAAAAATTTATAAAAAACAAAAAAAAATTTCTCAAACAACAAATGTTCCTCAACAAAAATTAAAATAACAAACAATAATTGAATAAACAATGAAAAGATGAAGAAAAAGTACCTTTGTCAATCAATAATTTCAAGTATGGAATCTGAGGAGGAGGGAGAAAGAGAGACGAACAAAGAATTTGAAAGTACAAACTATAGAAACAATTTAATATTAATCAATCGATATTACCGTTAGTGAGAAAATATAAAAAGGTGAGAGAAGATGAAGAACTATTTTTAACCTTTCTTATTTAATATATTCTTTAGAAATTAGAGAAATAATTATATACTAATAAAATATTATCGTTAATGAGAGAGTATGAAAAAGTGAAAGAAGATAGAAAGGTCAAATAATAAAATTATTTTTAATCTTTCTTATTTAATTTATTCCTTCAGTTTTTTTCTTTATGATATATTTAATATTGGGGGGGGGGCAAAATCATAAATATACAAGTAAGTTACAAAATTTTTTTGGGGGAGGGGGTCATGACCCCCTCAACTACTATGAAGATCCGCCACTGGACACAAGTAGGATCATACTACTACTAAAACATGGACCCTTGATTCAACTTCAACTTGGAGAGGTTTTTACTGTTGTCATTTCATTCTGTGAGTGTGCTAAGGAGGTGATGAAAACCCATGATATTAACTTTGCGACAAGGCCTAAAATCTTAGCTATTGACATTTTGTCTTACAACTCCATAGGTATGGCTTTTGCTCCTTATAGAAATTATTGGAGGCAGGTAAGAAAAATTTGCACCTTGGAGCTTTTCAGCCTAAAATGTGTCAACCCATACCAGCCAATTAAAGAAGAGGTGTTGTCCAATCTTGTCAAATGGATTGATTCAGAGAAAGGATCCCATCAACCTCACTCAAATCAATGAGCATAAAGAGGCACAATTAATAGCCAAAGATGACCAAAGTGAACCAGAAGATCTTGTAGATGTTCTCGTACAATATGAGGATGGTAGCAAGTAGAATTTTTTCATAACTAGAAACAACATTAAGGCCATAATTTTGGTATGGATCATAACCTCTTGCATTTACATTTTATGAACATATTTTCCACTTCTGAGATTGTTGAAGTGTTTACCATACTTTCTCTTTTAACTATCACTCTTGGACATCCATGCACTATCTTAATCTTACTGACAAATTAATTTTCAGGACATTTTGTTTTTTGGAGGTGAGACATCAACAACAACCATAGATTGGGCAATGACTGAAATGACAAAGAATCCATGAGTAATGAAGAGAACACAAGTTGAGGTTAGAGAGAGGTATTCAATATAAAAGGAAGGGTTGATGAAATTTGCATCAATGAACTCAAATATTTGAAACTAGTTGTTAAAGAGACCTTGACATTACACCTGCAGTTGCACTTTTGCTTCCAAGAGAATATGGGGAAACATGTGAGATACATGGATATAACTGTTGTAAAAGTTGATAGAGACAAAAATAAATCTTGATTCCTGAGGCGTGTAAAATCACTATCCTTAAGGATATATCCACAGAGTATTGTGCAAGCCCCCCAGGATACAATACGAACTTTCCAGATTTTCCGAGAAACTCAAAAACTAGTAAGAAACTCTTAAAAGAGTATATAAACCTAAGACAAGAGAAATGAGAAGGAAGAATAGAGAAGATGAGTGAGGTGTGTGTTTGAAGGAGTGTGGAGTGATCTATTTATAGGTATAGTATGAACAACAACCTATTTTCACATTCAACATCATGGGTGGTTGTGACCTACAAACATGGGAGAGTGAAACACTTGTAGGTTAGTGGAGCATGTTCTAGGTTTTGTAATATGTAACGTCATTTTTTTTTCTTCTATTTTATTTAATTTCTCAAAAATGGAAATAATTTTTTTTTTTAATATTATGTCTTTATGACAATGAACTTTAAAAATGATCATGCGTGAATAAATATATATAATTAAGGTGTCGAACATATTCATACATAACATTCATACATAACATTCATAATCATAATACATTGTTTTTCAAAATAACTAATCCAACAAGGATCATACTATAATTACATAAAGTTTGTACCCTTAAACGATTAGAACTTAATTTTTAAATTTATACATCTCAAAATAAAGCAAATCCTAATCAGAGCAGGTACCCAAAATTCCTAATTTTATTATACAAGATCATGCCCGTCTCGGAAGGCAGCATTCTTCCATGCATATGTATATGATACTCAATCAAATTGTGGTTCCTCCACCACAATTGTTTCATCATTACCCGAAATATAACGGTAAGGATGAGTTTCCTTTTCTCATCACTCCGAACACTAAACCGAAAATTTTTCCAACTTCCACAATCTAAAACCATATGTAACATTTATAGTCAAACATTTCATTTTTATAATAAAGTATCTCACACAGAAATTTCAAACAATTTCCACAACTCACATTACTCAAACTAAAAACACATAATACATGTTTGTGTTTCATTTGTTCATTTTTACTACATTTGAAATGCTCATGCACCTAGGATACACTATCAATCCCATCTTTCAATCCGTGAAAGGATCACACATAAGTACGAGACAACTCTCACAAGCATAACAAAATTACACACGAGCATAAATGGCTCACGAAGTATAGATAGTTGCTAGGTTGATCTGCGCATCACGGATACAATGCTTACGCATAACGATCCCTTGGCAAAAAGGCAAAGTCAAAGAGTCAAGTCGGGAGTATAGAGCGTGGCCAAACAATGCACTCTATATTTCCCCAAGATCAATCTGATCTTCTCTTATCTCCTAAGCCCCAGGTGTATCTCAGTACCATCCACACACATATCTCGTCACTGAGTGACACCACCAACTCTTTAACAACAATATATTTGGTAGGAACAAACTCTACATCATACAGACCATATCACTATAGACATAATACCCTATTTTTAGATGACCAACATCTCTGACTTAGACTCAGCACATAGTACAAACAGCTTATAAACATGATTTCCACTAACTACCATGATTATGAATGCATTAACTATTCATAATGTTTCTTTATACCATTCTTATTAAGCTTTATTTATTTTTCATCAATTTCAAAAATTTGACAGAATCTCCTTTGTAATTTGGACATTTCCCAATTTACAAATACATTCAAATCAAATTTATAAACACATTTTCCTGCATCAAATAAGAACAATAAAAATTTGCCGAGAGTCGGACACTCTCGGACTCAGCACACATTGCGATCTATCAAATTTTCTAAACTCTTGTTATTCTAATCTTGTGTCCCAAAATGTCTCATTACACACTATCATTCTCACATCATACATACTCATAAAATAAATAATAGGTCTAGAACTAAAGTTTTGTTTACACTTCTCTAGGAAGAAAAATCTATCATAAGCATTAGAAAAGTGTAACTTTGGAAAAATTCTTTGCCATCTAAACTAACTCCAAATTCTATGAAATTTTCCAGTCCAAAATACATATATTCTAGTATTATAATAAAAATTATAATTCAAAATTTAAAGATTTCTAAGTCATTCAAAACTTTCCTCCATTTTCATACGTTTTGAAGATTCCACTATCAGGGCATTACTCAAAGATATATTTTTATAAAATAAAATAATAGTCATAAAATTATGAAAATAAATAAACTTAACATATTCCTACAATCACAACTATGATAAAAATTTCATCTCAAAAAATTTAAATTTCGATTTTATAGGATTTTTCAAAGTTGCTGCGCAAACATAACAATTCTGTTTCACCCAACTCAAAACATATTTACTTCCAAGATTTTTCATCGAAAACCAACTGGTCAGAAAATTTTGAAATAAATCACACACAAACTAGACATACAAAGGAACATGTAATCAAAATTTCAGAATTAAATACCAATTAAATATTTTTACATAATTTTCCAAAGATTGTATTCACATGCAGATTTTTGTCCAATAACATCTCTCAACACATATTTCATCATCTTCCTCTATAAAAATCCAATTAATGTAGAAGTGAGATAAATGATGGTTTAGCCTAGGGTTGATGACAAGAAGACTCTCCTTACCTCAAATGAAGCTTTCAAACAAGAAAATTGAGATCCTTAGTTCAAGAAAAGTTTGTCTCCTATAAGCATCAAAATGACTATATATTTGAGATTAAGAAGATTTTAGGAGATAATATTGAAATCCAATGCTTTAATTTCATGAATCTTACTCTTAATTGCAAAAAGGATGAACCAAGATGGTGTGGGCAAGCAAAACCAAGCTTCTCTTCTTCCTCCCGTGCTCCCAAAATGGTTTCCAGTAAGTGAGAAAGAAAATTGATCTTTCTCTTCTTTAAATTTAACCTCCTTTCCAAAATTACCCTCACTTACTTTTTCACTTACCAATTAAATCCTTTCATCAATGGTAAATTATATTACTAATTTTGCTTAATGATATTACTTTTATTATTATTATTACTTCATTTTAAACTCAATTGTAAATTTATCTATTTCACTTTATTAAAAATTTCATAATATATATATATGTATATATATATATATTATTTATTAATATCTTTAAAAATTATCAAGTCTTAAAATAACTCATAATACCATTTTATTAAAGTTAATGACAAAATATTTTATTATATTAATGAAATATTTTTGGGAAATACTTGGATGTTACAATTCACCCACCCTTTTAGAAATTTCGCCCCGAAATTCACTAAGTATCAAAAAGATAAGGATAAGACTCTTTCATCTTGTCTTCAAGCTCCCAAGTGGCATTCTCTTTATGATTTAGATCCCATATCACTTTAACCAAGGCAATAGTCTTTCCTCGCAGTTGTTTAAATTGGTGATCGACAATTCTTATGGGTGATACCTCATAGGATAAGTTCTCTCGAACTTGGATAGGATCAAGTTCAATCACATGAGAAGGATCAGCAATATACTTACGCAATTGAGATATATGAAACACTGAATGTAGGTTTGAGAGGTTAGGTGGTAAGGCCAACTGATAAGCCACTGAACCAATCTTCTTCAAGATCTCAAAAGGTCCAATGAATTTTGGGGATAGTTTTCTAGTCTTTAAGGCTCGACCAACTCCAGTAGTAGGAGAAACCTTTAAAAACACATGTTCACCCACTTGGAATTCCAAAGGTTTTCTTCTCTTATCATAGTAACTTTTTTGTCGATCTTGAGCAGCTTTAATCTTCTCCTTAATCATTTTAATTTGGTCTATTTGTTTTTTGCAATAAATCAGGCGCCAACAACAAACTTTCTCCCATCTCATACCAGCACAACGGTGTCCTACATTTTCTACCATACAAAGCTTCATATGGTGCCATTCCAATACTAGAGTGAAAGCTATTATTGTAAGTAAACTCTACTAATGGTAAGCTTTCATCCCATGCTCCATGTTGTTCCATCACATAAGCTCGTAACAAGTCTTCTAGAGTTTGAATAGTACGTTACGTACTGTCCATCCGTACGTGGATGATAAGTCTGAACTCATTTTCAATTTTGTTCCTAATGCCCTTTGTATACTCTCCCAGAATTTTGAAGTAAATTGTGGATCTCTATCAGATATAATACTGGCAGGAACTCCGTGTAGTCTCACAATTTCTTTAACATACAATTCTGTAAGCTTCTCTAGCTTATACTTCATGTTCATGGGAATGAAATGGGCAGTTTTAGTTAATCTATCTACAATCACCCATACTGCATCATGATTATGTTTGGTCTTCGGCAATCCGGACACAAAGTCCATGGAAATGCTATCCCACTTCCACTCAGGAATATCCAATGGTTGTAGCTTTCCAGGAGATCTTTGGTGTTCTGTCTTTGACTTCCTACAAATCAAACATTTTGATACAAAGTTTGCAACGTCCTTTTTCATGCCATGCCACCAAAAATTTTCCTTTAAGTCATGGTACATCTTAGTAATACCTGGATGAAAACTTAATTTACTCTTATGTGCTTCTTCTAAAATCATCTTCTTTATTTCATCTAC